TTCTCCAGCAGCTGCTGCTCCACCTCCCCGCATTTCCTCTTGTACTGCAGCACCTGGAGGGACAGGGATGACACCAATGGGGACGGGAGGTCCCAAATCTCCCTGGTGTCCCCCAGGAGGGACCTACCTTGGCCTGCAGCTTCTGCACCAGCTGTGCCTGGCGCTGCTGGCCCTCCTGGTACGCCTGCAGCTTCCTCTTGTAGGCAGCCTGCTCGTCCTCCAGCAGCCGCCGCAGCTCGGCGTTGTGTTGGGCCAGCCCCCGGCTCTCAGCCGCCTCTCGCTCCTCGGGCTGCAGCCGCAGGCTCTGCTCCAGCTGGGCCGGGGGGATCCAGGGCTGGCACCCCCTAACCCCTGGAAATCCTCCGGAGCCGCTCGGGGCAGGACCGTCACCGCCAGGGCTCCGCAGCGAATCCCAGCCAAACCCCAATTCCCACACCCCAAACCCCAAACCCCAATTCCCACAGCCAAAACCCCACACCCCAATTCCCACAGCCAAAACTCCAATTCCCACAGCCAAAATCCCAAATTCCTGCATTCCCACAGCCCAGACCCCAATTCCCACAGCCCAGACCCCAATTCCCATATTCCCACATCTCTCCATGCACAGGGAGGGGATGAACTGGGAATTTTGGGGCTGCTTTTAGGAATAACTAACTCAATTTCCCATGTGTGGAGTCAGCCAAGCCCCATCCCAATCAGCCGATGGATAAAGGATCCTTGGGCACAGCAGAGGAAATTCCCTTTGGACTATTTCCTGACATTTGGGTTGTTTTTTTTTAATAACCAGGCACAAACTGAGGGATCCCCTCCAGAATCCCATCACCATTCAGTTTGGAGCCACATTCCACTCTGGAGGGGCAAAAAACCTTTGGAATTCCCAGTTGCTGGGGCAAAACACCCCAAAACCCAAGGATTCCCACAGGGAGTGGGGGTTTTATCCCAAAACCCACAAATAACTCGAGGACGGACACTGAATCTGTGAATCCCCGGCGGGTCGGGACGGGCCCAGACAATTCCCACCACGGAGATGTCACCAAAACCACGGGAAAAACAAATTTTTGAACGATATTTTAATGTTAAAAAGTTAAATCATTCTTTTATTTGTTTCAGACAGGATGTGTTACAGAATAAACCAWTGAAGTTCTACAGATTTTAGTTCTATAAAGTTAAAAAGAGAAATCATATAAAATTTATATGCCCTAAAGTAATTTTCTCTACAAACCTAGGCCGTTTGTAGATGAAATAATTTCTGCAACACATCCTAGCCAAAACAACATCGTGGCCAGAAAATAAAACAATGCCTTGACTTTCTTACATTAAAATGCTGTTTAAAAATTAATTTATTTTCCCCACGGTTTCAGTGACTGCCGGGGAACGCTGGGGCCGGCACCACCCACATTTTGGAGCTGAAAAGGGTGATTTTGGGAGGACTCACCCGCTCRCTCAGGGCGTTGTACTTGATGGCCAGCTCGTCTCGCTCGGCACGGCTCTGTGCCAGCAGGTCCTCGACACGCGACAGCTCCTGCTGCAGGAGCCGGTTCTCCTCCTGCAGGGACAGCAGCGAGGCCATRGCCCTGTGGGATGGGATGGAGMRGGGATGGGACCCRGYCTGGGACAAGGCCACGRCCACCCCGAGCTGCTGAGCCCYGGGGAAGGGGCCAAACCCTCCCTGGGAACATGGAAAATGGGTAAAAACCCGTAGGGATCAGAGTGAAAACCTGTGCTGGGATCT